AATCACTGATCGCGCCCCGGGTCTTGTGTTCAAGCCAGACTGTGGCCTGCATCCCTTTCCCCGCCTCTGTAGCCTCCCGTCGTCTCCGGTAGAGAATGCGCCCTGTGCCCCGAGAGACGGGCGAGCTGGGCCAGAGCCTGTGCTTGGTGTTCAGACCCTGCCTGCGGGGCCGCCCTGTCCCCACTTCCCGCTCTTGCCACCTGCCGGGCGCTGTGGGGCGTTTTAGACGCATATGAATTCGTAAGCTTTACGTTGCTACCGTGAAGTAAGTAATGAAGCCTTCGTGGGTCAGGATGGGCGCCAGATCCAATATAACTGGTGTCCCTTTAGGAAGAGAGAGGTTTGGCGGCCGTGGCTCCGTGGTGGAGCGTGACCTGTGAGCCAGGAGGTCACGGTGGGATTCCCGGTCAGGGCACAGGCCGGGATGCCTCCATCCCCGGTGCAGCCGATCAGTGATTCTCTCTCATCATTGATGTTTCTTTCTCTCTCCCTCTTCCTCTCTGAAATCAATAAAAATATATTATTAAAAAAAAGAGAGAAGCTTGGACACAGAGACAGGCCTAGAGGGAAAAGGACCATGTGAAGGTGGAGGCTGAGCTTAGACTGTGCCCGAGCCAAGGTGCCTGGGCCGCGGACGTTGGAAGAGGCAGGGAAAGGGTCCCCCCTGGAGCCCAGCGGGCTTTGCCTTGCAGATACCATGCGATTTCAGACTCGGCCTCCAGAACTGAGGGGATATATTCCTGTTGTTTTAGGCCACCCAGTCTGCCCTAGGAAACGAATATATCTTGTACCGTCTACTAAGTCCATAGCACGGATCCATTGTCTTGCCTGGTTTGGCTTTCCCCTTACTCTTGCCTCTTCCTTCCTGCGCTCTGACTTGAGTGGATTCTTGGGAAACAGTACCTTGTAGTGAAAACAGCTTGAGCTCTGCAGCGACACTGATCGGAGAGTGAGTCCTCGCTGTGCCACTTTTCAGGCTGTGTGGCTTCGGGCCTCTCAGCCTTCGTTTCCTTATCTTTGAAATGAGAGTAATACCGAATGATATCACTTGTATTAAATGGTGGTGGTTGTGGTTAGAGATGTACAAAGTGATCTTGGCTGTTCAGGGAATAACTGTTCACCCATGGCAGTCGTCGTTATTTGCAGTCAGTCCTAGTGTATCTGTGTGATGAGTATTTACTGAATACTTCTTATGCCAGTTGCTGCAGGGTGTCGAGGATGCCAGTCTGAATGAGAAAGCCTTAGTCCCTATCCTGATGGAGCTTGTAGTCTAATGGGATACAGGCTTTAGACAACTAATTTTGCAACTAATTGATGTATTTCCTTTGTGATAAGTACAATGAAAGTACTTCAAGAACGTGTAACGGGTTCTTAGATGGGAGAGTAGTTAGGAAGGTATTCTCAAGGAAGTTATATATTAGGTTCTTAAGAATGAGTAGGAGTTTCCCAGTAAAGAATGAGAACAGTAGGTTAGGCAGAGAGAAGGGACTGAGTGTGTGAAAACTGATGTGGTAGACCTTGCAGGATCTTGTAGGATTTTGAGCTTTATCCCGAAACCAATAGATAGTGTGCATAGGCTGTTACCCAAGAACGTTTCTCCTTTTTTATCCCCCCCCTCCCCCCATTTAGAATGCGGATTGTGGATGATGATGTGAGCTGGACGTCTATCTCCACCACTAAACCCGAAAAGGAGGAAGAGGAAGATGATGGAGACTTGCCTGTGGTATGTATCTTTTGAGGCTGTAAGGACTTTGAAATTCAAGCCTTTCAACCTCAACTCCCAGTGCAGGGCAGGTTTGTAAGAGGGAAAGTTAGGCAGATAATACTTCCAAAGAAGTACTATCTTCTTTTTTATGGAAGGGCCCATCAAACTAAAAATGGGAACTAATCCCAGAGAGAGGCAGGACTCCTCAGCATCAGTGATAGAGCTATGATAGAACTAGCCAGGTTCAATGTGTTGGGATGGACCTTAAAAACAATGCTCAGGTTCAATAGTAGGAACTTTCTCTTTATTTCTTTCATTCATGATTCAACTAAACTTTAAAATTTGTATGCTTTTGTGTAAGTACTGGAGATATGTGGATTAATAGAACATAGTGTCTGTACTCTAGCAGTCATACTCTAAAATGGGACTTTCAAATAATTTCAGTAATATGATAAATGTTGGAGCTATATTTCACATACATACCAAGTGCTATTAGAGCACAGGGGAAGCAGGCCACTTTTTATTCCATTGGGAAATTCCATGAAGGATGTAAATATCTGATATAAATTTTGAAGATAAGAACCAGGTGGACAAAAGCATAGGCAAATAACCTAGCATTGGTATAGCCATGGAATCTATGCTGAGAATAACTGAGAAACAGGTGAAAAGGAGAGTTGTTGATAGGCTGAATTGTGGTAAAGTTATAAAGATGAATTCCAGATGAGTATATTTAATGTTAATCCCCAGCATATTCTACAATAGATTACTTAAAAGATGATTTGTAGTAATTAAAAGGGAAACAGTGATCAAAAGGAACCAGAATGTTAGAATCAACCACTTAAATATAATTAATGTTCACACATGTGTTTTTATTTTTTTATGTTATAAAAGCCAAATATACTTATTATAGAATATTTGGAAAGCAATATGGGACTATAGAATATTTGGGAATTTTAAGAAACGTGAAAGTTTTAAAAAGAGTATAAAAATCACTTATACTGTGACTATCCACAGGTAACAACTTCTAACATTTGGATGGATATCTCTTTAATTCATAGATTATACATACTTCTTTTTATTTTTTTCAAATATAATTGGGATCATACTGTACACATGGTTTTGAGCCTACTCTTTCACTTAATAATATATTGTGAATACTTTAGTAAGACTTTCAAATATTCTTTGAGAATGTGATTTTTAATGGTTGCATAGTAGTTCAGTATATATATTGTTTTTAAATGTTCTATTACTGGACATATGGGTTGTTTCCTTTCTTAAAATATCATAATGCTTTGATAAACATCTTGTTCACAAATAATCCCTTATTTCTTTATTCCCATTAAGTGAAATTACAGCCCTTTTGAACTATAGTCTCATATTGCTTTCCAAAAGGTGGTACCAATTCACACTCCCAGTAGCAGTGTATGAGAATGCCAGTGTTTGCATTTCTTCATCAGTACTTAAACATTACAACAGCAACAAATTGGCAAACCTATACCAGTTTGGCAGGTAAACAGTGGTATCTAGTTTCTTTGAAAAATAGTGAAATGAATAGTTTTCCTTATGTTTGTTGGGAATTTCTGTTTTATGAAATTCTTGGTATTTTGTCCATTTTTTAGAAAATTGGGATTTTAATTTTTTTTTACTTATTTGATATTTATATAAGAATATATTACCTGTTTTACATGTCATAGGTATGTTTTATCTTTTTCCTTTTCATTTATAATAGTTTTGACATGTAAAAAATGTAAATTTTATGTGATCCTCTATTAATTTTTCTTTATAATATTGTCTTTTGTCCTGTGATGGCCCCAAAACGAAAACAAGGAAGGCTTTAGCCCCACTGCTCTCTATTCTGGTTAAACCAGATCTTGGTTATTGAATTCATTTTTATTACTGCACGATCATCACCACCACCAGAAATAATGGCAAAATAACTAGGACAACCACAATAGCAGTGGCAGCACAAAAATAATAGGTATAATTTACTGAGCATTTACCATGTACAAGCACTGCTATGCTTACATGACCCATCTCATTGAGTCCTCAGAGCAATCCTTTGAAACCTGCTTTTACAAATGAGGAAATTGAGGCTTAGAGAAAATAACTTGCCAGAGGTTACACAAATACCAACTGGCAGACCTGGGGATTTAGATCTCTGTTCATCTTGCTTGAAAGCCTGTGCTTTTAATGCCTAGTGAGAGGTCTCAAAACTAGGTTATATGAGGAATGTTGGTAGGGTCTTTGGAGAAGAGAAGTAGAGAGGAATTACGACCTGGGTTTGAATTCCAGTTCTGCCTCTTGCTAGCTTGTGATATTGAGAAAGTTATTTAACTTTGCTAAGTAATAGTTTGCTCTTTAGTATTGTGGACCCTTTCTTTGCAGGGCTATTGTGAGGATTGATTGAGATAGTAAAATGCAAAACAGTGCTTTACACATAGTTACTATTCTGTAACGAGAATTTATGATGCCAGGCATCTTTGAAAGTCTGTCATGTAGCAAGAGAGAGGATCAGTTTTCAGAGGTCAGAACTAGGGCCAATGGGAAGAAGTTAGAGGAAGGTCGATACCAGTCTGATAAAACTAAGAACTTTCTAGCACAACCTCAAAATATAGTAGACTACTAAATAACATAGTGAGTTTCATGTTAGTGAATTGATTCTCTGACAGGGAGGAATGGGTTAATAATCATTTATCAAGGATACTCTAGAGAATATTCCACATTTGTTTGGCAGTTTGAATGAAGTGAAATGTGGTTCTCTCTCTCTTAAAGATTCTGTGATTCTGTGTGCATCTTAATGACTTCTTTTTGTTGGCTTCAAGAGTGCCTGCCGTTGTAACTACCTAATACAAGGAAGGTTTCAGAGGCACCCGGAGCCCTTATGAGTGAGTGATAGGCACGACGAGGAGCCTGCCTGTTTTCACTCTGCATGCAATATAATAAAAATAAAGCAGGCAAAGGAATTTAGCTTTTATCTTACAGGTGGCAGTCGTGTCTGTGGCAAGTTGGTAAAAAAGTTTGTAATGAATGAAATTAACTTTTGGAGGGAAATTGATTAGTCGGAGAAAGATCTAGAATTAAACCATCCGGTGGCAATCAGGTATTTATGGAGCACACATAACTGAGGACCACTGCATGGATCTTCATGGCTGTTTTGGGTCTGTGTGTGCGATGTGTATTAGGAATGGGAATGGTTATAACTTCAGGTTCTTACACAACAGTGCTCCTTGGCTGGATCCTGTGGATGTCCTCAATGTAGTGTCCTCATTGCCACAGGTGGCTGAGTTTGTGGATGAGCGGCCAGAAGAGGTAAAGCAGATGGAAACCTTTCGTTCCAGTGCCAAATGGAAGCTTCTGGGAGGTGAGTTCCAACAATAGATAAATCTAAAGGGGAAGCCTTTTTCTTTTATTTTTTTTAGAGGGGCGCATTGTTTTAGTTTGTCACTGATCCTGAAAAATATGACCCATGACCTCATTTCCTGCTTCTGCTACCTTAGCCTCTGTTCTTAGAATGTTCATCTGCATATTTTAAAGATTGCATGTGGACTCTGGAGTCAGACAGAGCTGGATTTGGATATTCACTCCACCACTTACTAGCAGTATGACTTTGGCAAATTATTTAATCTTTTTGAGTATCAACTTTCTTATCTATAAAATGGGGGTAATCTTTATCTCCTAGGGTTTGAGAATTAAATGAGGTAATCTACGTTGGCATGTAGTAAGTGATCAGTAATGCTGATTATTTTTTGCTGGTGATCTCTCCCCCCCAATAAGGAGCGCAGTAGCATGGGTTAGTTGACAGCACTCATTTTTATGTGGCACAGGTTTAGTGAACATGCCTTTTGAAAGAAGAGTAAGTAAAAACTCACTCTTCTAGGCTAACTTTTCTAGGCTAAATTTCAGTAGGAGCCTCTGTCTGGGAACTCTACACAAATAAGGTTTTGGGAAGAGCATTGGGTTGGGAGATAGAAGACTGGGGTTCTAGTCTGTCTCTTCATCTTGGAGTTGTAATCTGAGGTAAGAAGCCATTCAGCACCTTGGAGCTTCTATTTTCATGACTGTAAACAAGATGCCTGCCTCACTTGCCTTACAAGGTATAAGATGAAAAATGTATTTAAAATGCTTTGCAAATTGTGTCTTGTTAGGCAAATAAAAGAGATTATTTTTAAGATGTTCATGGGTGCTGGGCCCCTAAGCAAAGGAGCTGTACAGAGTAGTTTAGGGCTTTCTGAGTAGTTTTGAGGTGTGTGCTGCTGGGGCATCTTTTGAAACTCTGGGTACTGGTGGTGAACACAGCATTTGTGGGAATCTGACTCTTTGCTCTTTGTGTTTAGGCCACAGTGAGGATCTACCTTCACACAGGCATTCCCGCCATGACTCCCCAGACCCTTCTCCGCCTAGGAGAGTCCGCCATGACTCCCCGGATCCTTCTCCACCTAGGAGGGTCCGCCATGACTCCCCGGACCCTTCTCCGCCTAGGAGGGTCCGCCATGACTCCCCGGACCCTTCTCCACCTAGGAGGGTCCGCCATGATTCACCGGATCCCTCTCTGCTCAGGAAGCATTATCGTCCTTCAGGTGTATCTCCTGACTCCCCGGATCCTTCTCCACCTAGGAGAGTCCGCCATGACTCCCCGGACCCTTCTCCGCCTAGGAGAGCCCATCATGATTCACCGGATCCCTCTCTGCTCAGGAAGCATTATCGTCCTTCAGGTGTATCTCCTAGAAGGGCCCGTCACGACACACCAGATCCATCTCCTCCTAGGAGGGCCCATCACAGTTCCTCAGATATTTCTCCTCAGAGAAAGGCCCGTAACAGCTCCCCTGACACCTCTCAACCTAGAAGGACTCTTGAATCCTTGGACACATCAAAGCTCAGGAGGGCCCGTCATGACTCCCCTGATTCGCCTCCTAATGTTCCTCATTCACTGCATAGAACCAAAAGCAGTAAAGTCCCAGAAAGAGCCTCTAGCAAAACTTCTCCACATCGGAAGGGGCCAGGACCCTCTCATCCCTCAGTCCCGAAGAACAGCAAGTATGAATGTGACTCGGACCTCTCTCCACCACGAAAAAGGCAAGCAAAATTTCATTATGGAAATAAACAGCATGATTCTAAAGGTGAGCATTGATTGTCCACGAGAGGGACTTGTTCCCTAGGCACTTCATTTTGAATCTTTTACTTGTTAGGTATTTATGTCTTTAGAAATGAGAATGAAGTTTCTTAGGAGAAGTTTTAAAAACTATAGGGCCGAAACCGGTTTGGATAGAGAGTTGGCCTGCAGACTGAAAGGTCCCAGGTTCGATTCCGGTCAAGGGCATGTACCTTGGTTGCGGGCACATCCCTAGTAGGCGATGTGCAGGAGGCAGCTGATCGATGTTTCTCTCTCATCGATGTTTCTAACTCTCTATCTCTCTCCCTTCCTCTCTGTAAAAAATCAATAAAATATATTTAAAAAAAAAACTATAGGGAAATAGTAAGAGGTTGGGCTGAAGAGTTAAATATTTACAGTAGAAGGGAAGAAGTTTTTATATATCCTTTTGTTGTCCTCACCGGACATAAAAGTGCTATATGTTTGTTGTAGAAACATCAGAATGTCTAGAAATACATAAAGAAGCAGAAAAAAATCATGAGGACTTCTCTTATTCAGAGACAATCACTAGTGTTGTAGCCAATGTTCTTTTTAGTCTTTTCTCTATTCATTTTTTAAAAAGATTTTTTTGTTGATTTTGAGAGAGAGAGAAACATTGGGGGAGAGAGAGAGAGAGAGAGAGAAAGAAACAAACATTGGGTAACCCTTTGGTGCATGGCACAATGCTCAATCAACTGAGCTACCTGGCCAGGACTCTCTATTCATTTTTGATGTAGGTCAGCCCTCTCTGTGCACTATCTATGTGTTGCATGCATTATCTTGCCTGGTTTTTTCACTTATCATTAACTTCCCCATGTCATAAGAACATTTCTTTGTTAATGTAATTTTTATTGTATTACATAAATTTAGTTAACCATTTCCCTAATACTGCATATTTTAGGTTATTTCTAAATTTTGCTTTCATAATCCCATATGATAAAAGCCTAATATGCTAAGTGTCTGGTTGGCCATTCAACCAATCGAAGTGTAATATGCTAATGATATGCTAAGGCCACTCAACTGCTTGCTATGATGTGCACTGACCACCAGGGGGCAGTTGCTTCAACCGGTAGGTTAGCTTGCTGCTGGGGTCCGGCCGATCAGGACTGAGTGAGATGGCTGGACACGCCTTGGAGCCTTCCCGCGGTCCCTCCCTGGCTGGCCAACCTTCCGCATCCCTCCCCAGCCCCGATCGTGCACCGGTGGGGTCCCTCGGCCTGGCCTGTTCCCTCTTGCAATCCGGGACCCCTCGGGGGATGTCGGAGAGCTGGTTTTGGCCCGATCCCACAGGCCAGGCCAAGGGACCCCACTGGTGCACAAATTTGTGCGCTGGGCCTCTAGTTCTGTAATGAACATCTGTGTACATAAACTATTCCCATTCTGGATGATTTCCTTCTCTGCTTCTAGATAGATTTCCTGGAAATTAAGTACTTCTAGATTTGTTTCCTAGGAGCTAAGTAGAAATTGATTTTCCAGGGTGTGTGTTTTAAAGATCATTGATACATATTGCCGATTGCTTTTTTTGGGAGGTAATTTGTGATGCTTATGTTTATAATTCAGGCCTGTGTGGTAAAAATTTTTACCCAAAATGGTCCCCAGTTACTGTTTTAATTTTTAAATTAAAATACATTTTTATTCTTTAGTCTGAGAACTTCGGAATATATTCTAGTTAGTTTTAACTTAACACATCACTGAGATCTGCGTGCATGTTATTTTGCCCATTCTGAGTGTGGTTAAATATGACGTAGAGGAATATGTTGAGATCTCACACACAATCACAGTCGCTGGTAACTTGGGAACAGAACTCCACATCCTGCCTCTTGGTTTTGAAAACTGTCCCTGACTTTGCTCTTCCCCTGTGTCATCTGATCTTGTGTTTAGGTTAGTGATGCATGAGGACTAAATGAATGTCGAACAGTAACTGGGTAAGTTCTTTTTAAGATTTTGACACTGGATTAAAGACTTTATTCTTCAATTTCTAGGCTCTTCACCCAGCCGTAGAAAATTTCATACGAGTTCGTCACCTCGAAGACGTCAGAGTCACACGTTGGGCTCTTCCTCCTACCCAGGTGACAGTCGGAAAGCCTCTGATTCAGACCTTTCTCCTCCGCGGAAGAAACCAAGTTCAAGGCCCCAGGGTTCTGATTCAGATCTGTCACCTCCACGAAATAGACCTGGGCGCCACAGCTCTGATTCTGACCTCTCTCCACCAAGGAGGAAACAGAGGGCCAAATCCTCTGATTCTGACCTGTCTCCACCTCGAAGGACTCAGCCTCTGGGAAAGAAGGTAGGAATTTTCAGGAGCCGTATCTTCTCTTAGAGCAGCGGTTGCCAACTGATGGTCCGTGGACCACTGGTGGTCCGTGAAGTCCGAAAGGTTGGCGACCGCTGTCTTAGAGTGATTCCTGTCTTCTAGCTCTATCTAAGGCCCAGAGATCCGAGCCAGTGGAGGGGGAGGCAGGTCTTGGTTGTGCAGTAAATCTAGTTCAGAGGACTGCTCCAGCTCTTTCCTTCTCTCTGAAGGCAGGACAGCCTATAATACAGCCCAGGTGAACTTGCAGATTCCAGAGTTCCTAAGTAGCGCCTGCCTTTATGTCATCTGAATTCCATAAATCTCATTTTAATAGGTTTAGAAAGACTTCCTCTTTTCTTAGTAATAAACAGAAGTGTAGTTTACAGAGTGGAGTTAGCACAAACTTTGTGTCAAATGTCACGTATTCAAATCCTATCTTTTCCACGTTGTATCTGTGAAATTTGAGCAAGGTACATAATTACCTCAGCTTCTTCATTGGTAAAATGTGGATAATAGTATATACTTCATAAGATTATTGTGAAAATTAAATGAGTTAGTGTAAGTAAAACTTTTAGCACAGTACCTGGGACAAAGTAAACAATTTATTACAATAAATTGGAGTGCAGGTTCCTGTATTCAGAGCTTAAAGAGAGGCACTTAAAATATAAAACTACTTCATATCACCTGGAAAGTCAGTGTTTTGTTTTATTTGAAATCTATTATGAGGCCCGAGTGAGGGGGAAAAAAAATCCATGAGCCCTGAGTAACTGTTGTAAAGAACACAAGTATGAGTAAAGGAATCTTATTCCAGTGAGCTGGTTAAGAGACAGAATGCTAGAGCCAGTGGTGTGCACATCTTCCTCCGGCACAGACTTTTTAGGTAGGTCTCCTTGGTAGCTCATGTGGTCCTGGCAGGATGGACTGGCCTGTCCCTCACCCAGGAAGTGAGGTTCTTCTGTTTTGGGTCACAAAGTGAGGGCTATGTTTCAGCTGGACTTCTTGATATTTTATGTATCTGTTTAATCCATATGTAATTTAATATTGATCAAATTTAGCACATGGCTTAAGGATATCAGGATATACTGCATGTTCCATTTGTGGATTGATTTGTTATCTTGATACAAGGTGGAGTTTAGTAAAAGGTTTTGATTTGGTCAGTTTTTTTCATTATCCTGAAATATATCCACGATTTAAGGATCTTAGGTTTGAATTTGCATTTTAAATGGGATTATTTGTTAGTGTGAGTCTCTATTGGAGGCCTTAGAGCTTGATACAGGTTTCTGGTCAGGTGGCCTGAGAGTGAGTCCTCATGTGTAAAGTTTATATATGCTGAAAAATCAGAAATACAGATGCTTTGCCTTCCCTTTAATATCTTCTTGGTTTGTATTTTTGTTTACTCTTAAATTTGATAGTACTATTGGTTTTCCATGAAACTCAATTATATTTTTTTTCTATTTTGTGAATCCTGTGGCTGAGAATAAGATATAAAATTAGCGTTTTTGATTTGGTTATTGCTGATCTTCAGACAAAATGCACATAACTGTGTGTACTCATAGAGCCTGCAGCTGCATCATCTCATTAATGTTGGACGCTCCCTTTCCATTGCATAGGCTGCACACATGTATTCTGGGGCTAAAACTGGGTTGGTGTTAACTGACATACAGCGAGAGCAGCAGGAACTCCAGGAACGGGACCAAGAAACCATAGCGTTTGAAGGTAAAATTACAAAAGTGCAAAGACCAATTGAGGCTCATGTAGCTTTTCTTTTTTAAATGTAGCTTATTGTACCTGATGTTTTAAACTTTTAAGTGCTATCAAGTTTCATTTCTGCTTTTACGCATTATTTTAACTTCTCAGTGGGTCCAAATGGTACTTTTCCTTCTTGAAAAAAATAATAGTTTTCAGGATCATCAGCAGTAGGTACTTGTAGTCTGGCTGCAGAAGTTCTTATTTAGCATTAGAATCCCGTGTTTGGTGTCAGCTATTAAAATATTATTTCTGATTTTAATACCTGATGTTTATCTTTAAAAGCATAATTTTCCTTTGCAGCTGAATTCCAATATGCTGAAACCGTATTTCGAGATAAGTCTGGTCGTAAGAGGAATTTGAAACTGGAACGTTTAGAGCAAAGGCGAAGAGCAGAGAAGGACTCAAAGAGAGATGAGCTGTATGCCCAGTGGGGAAAAGGGTAAGGGAACCACTGAAAGGTAAAACAAGACTACAGTGACTGCAGGGAGTTATTTCTCAGAGTCCTCTTCTGACTAGCTAGTTTATGTTTTGCCTTCAAGCTGTTTCCAGGTCCTGACTGGGGTGGCTCATTTGGTTGGGTATCATCTTGTGCACGGAAAGGTTTGATTCTCAGTCAGGATGCATTGGGTTGCAGGCTTGATCCCCAATTGGGGGTGTGCAGGAGGCCGCCGATCAATGGATCAATGTTTCACTTTCTTTTTTTTTTTTTAATATATTTTATTGATTTTTTACAGAGAGAAAGGGAGAGGGATAGAGAGTTAGAAACATCGATGAGAGGGAAACATCGATCTGCTGCCTCCTGCACGCCCCCCAGTGGGGATGTGCCCGCAACCAAGGTACATGCCCTTGACCGGAATCGAACCTGGGACCCTTGAGTCCGCAGGCCGACGCTCTATCCACTGAGCCAAACCGGTTCGGCCAATGTTTCACTTTCATGTTGATGTTTCTCTCTCAAAATCTATTTTAAACTTTTTTTTTTTTATTAATAAAAGCTGTTTTCAAGAATGGGAAATTCATTGTGTTCAGAATATATATATATCCTTTCAGTGATATATCCTGCACTTCTACTTGGTATTCTAGGAATTTTACCCTTTTCAATATTTGGCCTAGGCTTATAGAAAAAGGAGGTTCTCCAAATGCAGCAGTGTGTCCATGTCAGTGTAAGAGTAGAAGTGTTAAACAGTATTACAAACAATCTTGGTTCTTTTTGCCAGGCTTGTCCAGAGCCGGCAGCAGCAACAAAATGTGGAGGATGCAATAAAGGAAATGCAGAAGCCTCTGGCCCGCTATATTGATGATGAAGATCTGGATCGGATGCTGAGAGAACAAGAAAGGGAGGGGGACCCCATGGCCAAATTTATCAAGAAGAATAAGGCCAAAGAGAACAAGGATAAGAAAGGTGAGCCTTCTGGGAATCATCAGCGGTGCAGGTGACTTATGTGAGAGAGAGAGAGAGAGAGAGAGACATTAGGGTGGTGATAGATGGCTATGTGCAAAGAAGGCTTTCCCATACAATCTAGATTCCTTGTGTTTGGGAGTTAGGTTCCACTTAATAGAGATTTCTGTATAAAATCCCCCCAGCCCCAGCCCCAGCCCCACTGCCTTCTAGCTCTGGATTGAATAGTATAAGTAATTGACTTGTTTTTCTCTCTCTCCTCTCATTAGTGAGACCTCGCTACAGTGGCCCAGCACCTCCTCCCAACAGATTCAATATCTGGCCTGGGTATCGTTGGGATGGAGTGGACAGGTAAACCTGAATATTTCCTACATTTTTGTTTTTTTCTTCCATCTGATCCTAACCTTCCCTAACTGTATGTCACTCTACACTCTGCCTCGTTCTGTCTCTAATGACTAGGTTAATAATTTGAAGTTTGCTTGCTTCTGTTTCCAAGGTCCTCAAATCCCATTGCCATGCTTAGAACACTCTTCCTCCTTTTTCCCTTTTCCAAGCTTAAGAAGCTCTGGCCAAACAACTCAGATGGTCCTTTGTTTTTGACATTGTCACTTTTAATGATATTTTCTAAAGTTTAGGGGGTGAGTGAAGGGTGGTAGTCTGGAGCCTTCTGTATGCTGTATCTAAAATATAGCCCTTGAACCGTCTCTTCACTGTCTTAGGAGTGAGTTACTTGTAATACGTCACTGACCCCTACCACCTTATCTTTATTTTTTATGTTAATCCTCACCTGAGGATATTTTTTTCATCAAATTTTTTTTTTTTTAGAAAGAGTGGAAGGGAGGCGGAGAGACAAAGAGAGAGAAACATCGATGTGAGAGAGACACATCGATAGGTTCCCTCTTGCACATGCCCCTGCTGGGGCCGGGGATTGAGCCTGCAACTGAGGTACGTGCTCTTAACCAGAATCGAATCCACGACTCTTCAGTCTGCAGGCTGATGCTCTAACCACTTAGCAACCCAAGTAGGGCTGAGAGAGAGAGATAGACATTGATGTGAGGAGACACATCTGTTGGTTGGCTCCTACACACACTGGGGCTGAGGATCTAACCTGCAACCCAGGTACATGCCATTCACTGGGAATCGAACCGGAGACGTTTTGGTGCACGGGCCAGCGCTCTAACCACATAGCCACACTGACCAGGGCCCTACCACCTTATCTATTCACCTGCCTGCATCTGTACCCCCATGCTCTAACTTCCTGTCCGTTACCATGGATGAACTATTTGTGCTCCTATCCAGAGTTAGCCCCTCTACTTATATGCTGGATCCTGTCTCCTTTTGCCTACTAAAAGACATTTTTCTAGCATCTAATACAATGATTCTCAAACTTTTCGATCTTAGACCCCTCCACACTTAAAAATTATTGAGGACTCCCAAAAAACTTTTATTTGTGTTGGTTATACTTATTAATATTTCTAATATTTACCACATTAGAAATTAAACTGAGAAGTTTAAAAAGCATTTTTTGGTTCATTAAAAATAATAAAGCCAGCCCTAGCTGGTTTGGCTCAGTGGATAGAGTGTTGGCCTGCAAACAGATTCCGGTCAAGGGCATGTACCTTGGTTTTGGGCACATCCCCAGTGGGAGGTGTGCGGGAGGCGGCTGATTAATGCTTCTCTCTCATCGATGTTTCTAACTCTTTATTCCCCTCCCTTCGTCTTTGTAAAAAAATCAATATAATATATTTTTTAAAAAAAGCTGCAAGTCCATTATATAATAAAGTAGGTTTTATGAATGTGTATATTTAAAAATTGACAAATTAGTTTACCTGTTTTTACTTACGTAGACACATTTGTGTAATTAAAATTATGTATGAAAAGTTTAATTTTCACAGAAAAGTTTATATATATATTACTGTAATTTTAAATTTATACTGAATAGGTCTAGTATATCGGTCCAGCCACCTTGCGTAAACAAATGTACACGGCTGGGGCATGGCTGAGCGCATGTCACTGGTTAAAACTGCTGCAGAAAGTCACGTCACGTGACAACAGAACCAATAACGTTGCTTGATGCGGTGTGATCACATGCGAATCCCCGAACATTGTTTAAGAGCGGTGACGCTTGGATTTAAATATGTAGACTGTAGTTGTAGATATGTAATATTTACTTATGTCAGCAAAATTACTACAGTGTTTTTTTCCAACCTGGCCTATTTGCTAAAATTTGTTAAAAATGACAGTGAATTTATACCAAAAACATTAACCTATTAATTTAATTATAAGCAAGTCTTGGTTAAAAGCATTTTAAAATTAACAGGGTGTTAATTTTCACATATGACATATGGACTGGAAAGTTTTGTCCATTAAAGATGAAGTCCATTAAATTGAGGTCCCAAAAATCAAGGGTTTGCTGTATTATATATTTTGATACTGCAGAAAAAGTCTCCAGTTTATTAAAGGTTATTTATAATATGGAATCTAAAACTATATAAAAAAACTTTTTATACTGTTACATTAAAATCTATTGGGTTTTTTGTCCTACTTTGGGATGGATCTTTTACCCCTGCGTGATTTTATACCATCATGCACTATACATGTGAAAAGATTTCTTTGCTGAGTTTTTCAGATCTTCCCAACATTGACATATTTCATTATATAATATCAAATAACCGTGTATTTTTAACATCTCTGATCTCATCACAAAATCTTTAAATAACAGAAAGCAAAAGAGTTCATGGTGACAGATACAAGTGTTTCAAAATTCTTTGTTGCTCCACTTAGTTTTGCATTCATTGGTTGCTTCTTGGATGTGCCCTGACCGGGCATTGAACTCGGAACCTTGGCATATCAGGATGATGCTCTAACCAACTGACCTACCTGGCTAGGGTACATAATACCTTATTTTGTAGATTCCATCAGATTTTGTGCTTAGAGGATCATGTCCTGTGTGAATAGAGACAGTTTGACATCTTCCTTTCCAATCCAGATGCCTTTTGTTTCTCTTTCTTGCCTTATTGCACTAACTAGAACTTCCAGTGAAGAAATAGAATAAAAGTAGTAAGACCTTGTTCCTAATCTTAGAAGAAAAACATTGCATTGCTCCTAATCTTAGAAGGAAAACATTCAGTTTTTTACCATTAAATATGTCTTAAGCGATAGCTTTTTTTATAGATTCCCTTTATTAAGAAAGTTCCTTTCTATTCCTAGTTTGCTGAGGGTTTATTTTATTTTTTCTTTCAGGAATGTATGTTGGGTTTTGTTCAAAATAATTTATAATTTCCCTTTTGGTTCATTCTTTGATTTGTGAGTTACTGAGGAGGACATTGTTTAATTTCAAATATTTAGACTTTTCTAGATATCTCACTGTTACTGATTTCTGATTTAATTCCACTGAGGTCAGAGAATGTACTCTGTAATATTTTGGTCTTTTGAAATTTGTTAAGACATATTTTATGGCCCAGTATGTGGTTTACCTTGGTGAAAAGTCCATTTGTGCCTGAAGGTTATGTGTATTCTACAATTGTTTGTTGCAGTGTTTTGAAAATCTTTTGTGTGTTTTAAAAATAAACTTTTGTTATGGAATAATTTTAGATTTATAGAATATTTGCAAAGATATTATAAAGAATTCCCATACATTTCTCATTCAGTTTCATTACCATTCATTACATTATCATGGCACATTTATCAAAACTAAGAAACCAGTATTGGTATGTTGTTACTAATGTACCAGGTTTTATTTGGTTTTCACCAGTTTTCCCATTAATGTCCTTTTTCTGTCCAAGGATCCAGTTCAGGAGACCACATTACATTTAGTTGTCATGTCTCTTTAGTCTCCTCTGATCTGTGGCAGTTTCTGTCTTTGCTTTTTGTAACCTTCATAATTTGGGGTTATGGTCAGGTATTTTGGAAAATGTCCCTCAAATTGGGTTTGTCTGATGTTTTTCTCATAGTTAGACTGAGGTTAGGGGTTTTGGAAAGAATGCCACAGTGGTGGAGTGCCCTTTGTATCACTTCATTTTAGTGGGTGCATGGTGGCCACATGACATCAGTAAGTGATGTTAACCTCAATCACATGAGCAAGGGAGTGTTTGCCAGGCTTCTCCACTTTAAAGTCACTATTTCCCCGCTTCTGTACTCTGTTCTCTGGAAGTGAATTACTGAGTTCAGCTTACATTCAAAAGGGGACCAGTGGGAGGATATCTGCCTATAGTATTTGGACTTTTTCTGTAAGGAAGGTTCATTTCATCTCCCCATTTATTCAACCATTTATTTTTATCAGTATGGACTCATGTATATTTTATACTCTGGATTGTAATCCAGTAGTATGTTATTTATTTTATTACTTATATTGTTCCATTCTTTAGCCATTGGGAATTTGTTCAGGTGTCTCTTTCACATGCCCCCATTTTATTTCTGAGTCTCCTGTTCTTGATACTACAGGATGCTCCAGGCTCATCTTATGTCTATTTTCCCTGCCCAACATTAGAATCAGCCATTTCTCCAAGGAGCCCTGGCTGCTTTTTGTGGAGAGTGGTATATAGAGACCAAGATCTGACTGCTAGAAGTGCTTGCTGTTACTGGGTGTCATTGCTTCCAGTCCCTCTTAGCAGACAGAGCTAGGAAATGCATGTATAGTAATTTACATATACACACATATCTCTATTTTGCTGTTTCCATCTGTATGTATCTGTGTATATGAACATGTATTTATATATACAGATTTACAAATATGAGTTCATACTGATGTAACTGACTCTGATACAGAGTACTTTTCCTTCTTATCTATCACTTCCCTTTAGAAATTTAGAAATCTGTCATTCACCATCTACCACCCATTTTGTTCATCCCAATATACGTGTAAAACAGTTTCAGAATTTTAAAATTCAGAAATGAGAAACAAATTTACCAACTGGAGAGTAGCATTTCTTTGGTTATTACCCTTATAGTTTAATCAAAATACAATTTTCAACATAAAGGGTCAGCTCCCTGTTCCCCCTCCCTCCAGGGCTGTTATGTCATACATAGTAATATAGTTAGACTCACTGTCATAGCCTGCAGTCTGTCCTGGAGTCTCCTGGGTGGTTTTTCCCTTTCATAGTTTACTTATATTGATGTTTTCTCTTTAGCATGGTGTACAGCTCTTTGAGGTTTGACAAATGCACTCATTCATCCACTGCCCTAGTACTATATAGAACAGTTCCATCACCCTAAAATTTCCACTAAAAGTCCCCTTTTAGTTAATTGTAGCCCCTCTACCAGTCCCTTGTAATTACTGTTCTCTTTTCTGTCCCTATAGCTTTGCCTTTTCCAGATGTCACATGAATGAAATCATACAATATATAGCCTTT